GCTGGATGGAGGGAAGGAGACTTAGTGGTAAGAGGAGAGGCTGGCAGAGGGTTTCTGAGCGAGGGTGGGAAATGGAGGGAAGACAGAAAGCAGGTAAATAAATCAACAGAAACCTCAGCAGGTCATAAGCCTTCTGAGGTTTGTGGTGTAGAAGTATTGGTTTCTCTGCAGAGACAGTTATGCTCTTAGCAATTATTACAACATCTTGTACAACATACTGGATTCATTTCCACTCTAGATCTCACTTAACCTTGAATGTATTGATTTAGCAGCTTCAGGAGGAGGCCAGCATCTTTCTCAACCTTAACATGGAAAAACAACTCCCAAACACATCCCGAGTCTATAGTAAACACTTTTATTATCACAGAGATAACAATGCATGTATGTGACATTGTGATGAGCTCCCAGACACAAGCTGCTCTACACTACCTACAGCAGTGGCTAAAGAAACAGGTTATTACTATCAGGAACTCGTAGAGACCGAAACGTTTCATGCATCTATTAATGTGGACTTACAGCTAACTAGGCCTCTTAGTTAGCTAGTTTAGTGTTTTCTGTTAATTTATGTTGTAAATTTATGTTGCATGTAGCACCTTGGTTCCTGGAGGAACGTTGTTTCGCCTCACTGTGTACTGTTAAACTGTATATGGTTGAAGTGACAATAAAGCCAACTCGACTTGACTTGACTTGACCGCTCCATTATTTATTTTAAAAAACAACAACATAAACACTAAATATTATAAGCTAAATAATCAGCCAAGCTTGATATTTTTTTCAAGGCTTAAAAACAAAAAAAAACCCTAGCTTATAAACATCATGATCATTTCATTTCATGACTCAGAAATCTTCCAACTTCAGGTATAAAAGGAAAGATTACTGTTGTAAGATGTGCAACCAAGATGTGTTTGTGCAATGTGATAAATTATCAATATACATTTATTGCAATTAAGCTTCCTCAGCATGCAGTTTAAAGTTCTGTAGCCCATATAACAACCATGCTAGTCTAGTGCTAGTTTTGGCTAGCAGGTAGCGTTTATTACCCTTGATCGTAACACATCAGTAATGTGACAAAGAGGAAATACTTTTTTCTTCATGAAAATAAGTACACAACCTCTGGGTGCCAAAGACTTTTAATGAGTCTCGTGAACACTTATGGCTGGCTCTATAAGTGTTTCAAACCCTGTTAGCTTCCATGTTAAAATGCCTGAATGCAACCAAATAGCTAGCGTTAGCTGACACCCATAGCCAATGCTAGACCATTCACAGCGACTACTCCATCTTTTATCTCCAGTGTATACTGAGAATGGACAATGACACCGTGCTCCACAGATCTAACTAATACTTAAGCTATCTTTCTATGCTATACTTGACTCATACATCGCAATCTGCAGCAGAGCAACACTTCCAATAAACAACTCTCTGGTAAAAAAACAACAACAACAACAACCTTTATAGTAATAAGTGAGAATGTGAGAAACACAGCATGACACCAGGAGGTAAAGAGCAATAAGCTGATTGAGGCAGGTGCCTCACAGCCAACACGGAGGTATAAAGACTGAAGAGAAGGAAGGTGAAGCAATGCACAAGTCAACAAAGGTTATCTGGGACAATTTTAGCAGTAAAGAGCAGACACTGTGTGATATATAACAGCCTTAAAGATGTAATGGTGACACTACAGAGAATGGAATAAGGCCACCGAGGGAGGATAAGAGGGGCAAGATTTTGAGCTTTCATTGTTGCGCTGTGTGACTGAAGGATAATTACTGTTGCGAGAAGAACAGGAGAATGAGTGCATTTAAAGTGTCTGTACCGTGCAGTCCCTCTGCTTCTCCTGCCAAGCTAAGGCCCAGCCATGTAGTAGCTCTGTCTCTTTTCCCCTAAACAGCTTTGTGAGTTAAAAGCTCTTGGCTCTGAGTTTGTTGCCAGCTATTTGAACAGACTTTTGCAGGCCTTCCCTACCCACAGAGGAGTAATACCCTCCGACTAGGTGTACATAGGTGAGTGCATACTACAGTCGTTGTGAATTAATTACTAGGGACCAATAACGTATTTCTCCTGGACAGTCGGTTTTAAAGTGTGTGACAGTGTCGTACGTCTCAGTCTGCAAACACAGAAGGGATTTGTGGGTATACTTACTGGGTCAGGTTGCTGGAAAGTAAATTAGGCGGAGAGAAAATACTCTGGGTGCCTGAGACAGAAAGGTTAATGGCTTTATGAGATTGCAGTGACATATTATTGCAAACACCTCAGAGCAAACAAATTATTTGATTGTGATATTGAAGAATGTAGCAGTTGTTCCTGCCTGTTAATGGAATATTAAATCCACAGGGTGTGGACATGTGTAACTGTGCCTTACAGTGCCATGTACGTACATCCTCGTATTGTTTTTGTAACACTTTCCAACGACATTTTTAGGTTCTTGGTGGTCTACCTCAACAGTAGCATAAGGATAATTAGCTTTTTTCACTTATTTATTCAACAGATTTATTACTATGTGTGAAATTATTCAGTGAAATAAGTAAGTACACTTTGGACTCAAACACTTGCGTTACTGTCTGTAGTGCAAAAGGAACATTTTGTAGCAAGTGCAAGCTAAATTGTTAGTTTTGCGGTGGTACTAAACAACACTACAAAGAAAATTACTTCAACTGATTTACATCAATGGATGTAAAAATTATTGGTGGAAAAAACTGCAAGCTTTTTAGTAGTGTACTTGAAGAACAGAAGCTTGCTTTTCCTTTGTTTGTGTATTTAAAGATAATAGCTGTAAAAAAGCATTGGTGGAAAAAAACTATGTACACTTTGGCCTCTTAAGTTAGCGTCGTATCCGTTATTAATTTAGCCTCTGCTTCTAAACAAGCAAAGCAGGTTGTAAAGTCTATACACAGCATGCAGAAATGATTTTGGAGGCAGATTTTTACAGCAAAGATAGAAAGAAAACTGGATTCAAAATCAAAACAAAGACCACTGGAAATAAAGGTGATACAGATATATTTCTTGCACGTGCAAGAAATACAAATTTAAAAAGCATAATACAAAAGTCTGATGCATCCATAGCTTACCTGATTTTTGAACCACAGAATCGGCTACGATACACTGGAAAGCTTAGGTAGAGTTTTAGGCAACATAAAGAACGATAGTGAGATCAGCCTGACTGTGAAACGCTCAGAATATGAGGCTGAGAATTTTAACACTGATCCTAAACATAACTGGATGCAAGTAAAAATAAATGAGTGGCTAAGATGTTGGATGTCAAAAGACTGGAATCACTCAAATTCCCTTCATATGCAGGATTTATGGCTTTCCTTGCATATACAACTCATTTTAAATCCCCCAACATTTCAGCTGGATTCAAATCTGGGCTTTGAACAGGCCATTCTATAACTGTGCTCTCTTCTTTTTGAGATTTAAGATGCAGAATTCATACTTTGATGGAAAAAATATGATGAAAAAGTTAAAAAATCCCCACTGGGTGTACTTATTTTTTTTCCACATCAGTGTAACAATGTATTCCCTGTAAGTCTCAACGCATTGTTTTCCCTTGTGGGCACCAACTATTTCATTTTAAAGTAGCTCTCTTTTGAAAATCCAGACAATAGAAGAAAAGAATCTGAGGTGGGTGTCTGCAGGGACCCCAGGGGCACATCAAAGGGGCGGTTGACTGGTCAGTTATGCAGAGAGCTGCAGTAATCAAGCACAACCGGCTTTAATGATGTTGGAACACACACATAAACACATGAATTCTGCTCAGGACAGCAGCTCCCACCGGGGCTTAACAACCGCAAAACTGACCTCTAACAAAATAGCATCACGGCTTTAGGAATGAGCTGCGTGCAGGCATGGATGGTCCATGCAGGCTCAGGTATCAGGTTTCCCTGGTGGGCCATTACCTCTGATGCCTGGCTAGGGTCTATCAAGTGTAGGACATCAAAATCACAGCTGTACATGCAGACACGCACTTACAGGCCCTCTGCCTCCTCAGATTGGCCTTGGGATGTCAAAAGGGGGGAATGAACATCGACCGGCAGAGACCATTTGTCTCAGTAGTGGAAATTTTAGCCCCACAGTGTCCGCTCTCCCCCTTTCCTCCCCCTCTCTCTCTCCGCCTCCTCTCAGGCATTTTTGAGGTGTCTGAAGGTAAAAAGCAAGACGGGTGGACATGATGTTTTGGCTGACTGACATCAGATCGGCTCCCCACATGGGTGGAGAAACAGCCTGTTTCTCTGTGGTTTATGAGGATGTGAATAGTGAACGGATGTAAAGCTGTAAATCTGTCTGGGAGCACAGGCATCAGCTGGCTGTACCTAGGGGTTACCGTTGTTAGACTATACTTTAACTAAAGTGACTGCAAACAGCAGAAGGTGACGATGGAGCAAAAAAAAAAAAAGAAAAGTTTTATTCAGCGAGCTGGGAATTCCTGGCAGGCATCAGCCACCAACTGTGGATACATGGCTCTGCAGTGGAATAGTGACGGAGGCAGATGTTTGGCTGTGTTACGAACCTGGTAATAAGACAGGCATGTGGCTGTGTTGCATCCAGAGGAGCAGGTGCTGCCACCACACTGCCATTACCATCTGCACTGATGAGATCAGGGACCCAGCCGTGCTGGATGTTTGATGATTATTATCCCTTAAAGTAAAATATAAAATAAATAATCATGCAAGCTGGTGAAGTCGGGAGTATCATTTTTATCTCCCGCGATTTCACTGTAAAATTAGTTTATTGTCTCATTTGGCCCTGGCAATGTGATATTCACGCCTCAAATATGTCTCTGCAGTAAGCACTAGCCAGTCTGCCAGTATGAACTGAAGTGGATGGATGAGGAAATGGTGGAGGTTAGGAGAATGGTGAAGGGATAGAGGGAAAGAAAGATGCAGAGTGATGGAGGAGAGGATGTAAAAAGAAATGGGATAGTATCCCTTTAATGTCCTCTGACGTCATGATGATGCAGATCTGCCGGGCTGGGTGCGAGCGTAGGAAAGGAGGAGAGTGATGCCGACAAAAAAAAAGAAACTCCTCAGCACTATTTTTTTAGTCCCCTTGAAGAGAAGAAGGAACACCCTTTATACAAGAGGGCGGATTAACACCTATTGTCACTAGCAAGTGAATATGTCAACGAAAGCACGCTGAACGCCACACGCTTTAATAGAAAAAGCGACCATATTGAGGTCAGAGGAAAGCGTTGCCAGGGCGACCGGCTTGCTAGGGAGGACACTGCGGCGCGCGTCACACGCCGGGGACGAGCGTAGCTGCCTGCTTGCGTGCGTGCCTTACGAGGGTGCGCACGTGCGCGAGCGCGCGACGGCCAGCCGGAGCGGTCACGGCATCCTCGCAGCAGCAGCAGCGGCAGAGGCAGCATCCTTCTCTTCGAGACTGCTGGAGCACCGCGATTTGTGCGTCCGCCGTTTCTGATACAAGCTAAAGCGAGCCGAGCCGGAAGCTCGGCAGCGTCTTGGCTGTCTTTACTGGGATTTATTTTGGATTTATCGTCGACGTCCTAGGAAAATAAGAAGAAAACACAGTCCGAGAGAGTAAACCTGAGTAGCTGAGACCACTGGTCAACACAGGTGATACTTTCCGGCTGTCAAATCCGCCGAGTCCCCGCAGACACGTCCGGGTTATTTCGGGGTTATTTTGCAGTTTAAAGGCCTCGATAAAAAGAGACATTGGTCCTGTGGCACGCTGGACTGTCAGCAGAGAAATTCATTTCTTGCGGGGACCAACCCGAGCTCGGCTGCTCGTATGGAGAATCCTACTAAACCGAGCTGTTTGTGGTGGGTATTGCAGTAGAGGCAGCTTTATTTTTGGGATTCAGTCTCCACTCTGTCATCGTCTCCAGCCATGAAGTCCCACCTGCCGGCCCGGTTGGACTGAACGAGGTAGAGCTCTGCCGAGGGGGACCTCCCCCCTCCCCTCCCTCCCCAAAGTATTTGCGCTATTTTCTTTTTTTTTTTAATTTGTTTTCATTTTTATCTTTGTTTTTCCCGCGAGCTGGCGGAAGGTTTAAGGAGAAGGACGAAATCTGAAGAGAACAGCAGTGGGAATCTGGCGCCCTACCAGCACCCGTGGATCCCACGTTAACAGGTAGGCTAAGGTTTACACGGTGGATGCTGATTGAGGTTATTCTCACTGAAAATTCTTCGAATTTGATTCATATCTAAAGTGTGTGTCAGCAGCTGAGTGAGAGGATGCATTGACCCCCACCCCTAAAAAAAACATGGCTGGAATGAATTATATGTTGTGTTACTTGCAGTCTTTTTCCCCCAGCATGCTTTAAAAAAAAAAAAGTATGTATATTTGCTGTGGACCTGTTGAGAATGAACCACACTTCGTGCAGATGAGCTCCTCCATAATCACACAGAAGATGCATCCGCTGTGCCATTAATGAGGGACCTGCACTCAGAGCTCTTCTGGTGGGATGAGAGAAACAGAGGCTGCCATTCGGTCAGGCTCAGCTTATTCCTGTGCCCCTGGATTACATGCAGCATTTGTTGCATTTTCTAATCAATAGAGCTTCTCTGAGATTGCAGAGAATTGCTCATTGTGCCTTTTTTTTTGGCATTATCTGGAAGATAGAGATGAAGGAGGAAACCATGGGAATTCTCGCAAGCAACTTAAATTGAGCCTGTTTTCATCTGACCTTTATTCTCAAAAGACCCCAGGAAGCGCCTTGGCCATGAGAACATATTCCCCTAAATGCTCCCCTACAAACACGCACACACACACAGATAAATGCACACAGACACACAGCACGAAGAATGGGGTGCATTTATATGCTGTGGCTGATGTTGTGGGGCATTCGGATCAGCAGGGCCTTCTAGATGATAGAATTCAACAGGGACAAGAAGACCTCTGTTCTTATCTACAGCAGAGAAGGGGAAGGCTCTCCTTGGTTTAGGCAGCTATCCTGCCCTATATAGCAGATAGGGACATCTCCTCTGTGGGGAGAAAGCATTTAAATGGAGGCAGAGGGAAATATGTGGAAATGTGTCCTTGTGCTAAATAGATGTTGTCACAGAGGAGTTGTTATTTACCTCGCCGGCAACCAGCTAGAAACTTTGAAGACCCGCCGAGATGTTTAAGGGGGATAAAGGTGGCGTGCTAATGCAGTCTGTTGAGGAATTGCAGACATTTGTGTGAGCGAGCAATACGTACACACAGAGAGAGATAAAAATGAAATAGAGGGAAAGACATTAGTACATCCTAGCTCCATTGTTACAATGCTCTCGGTGCTCATTGCAGCTGAGCACCTGGCATTGCAGAGTGTATAAATGTAAGTATAAATATGTATATGAAGATCAGAATCTTTTACCCTTAAAAAATTGGCATTAGTCGGCCTCTAGATGTTATCGCTGTCATCTCGAGGTTTGCTGGTCGGGCTGAGTCACATATGATCATATTCTGATTGGTTGGACAGCCAGAGGTATAACCTCTGAAGGAAACGTTACATTAGCAGCACTCTGGGTTGGATCCATGACCATTTACCCAGTATACGGTCTTGGGGGTGGCTGAAGCTGGTCTGAGACAGAGCAAAAGGTGGATCCACCAAGATCCTTTGGAGGAGGTGGTCTCGGTATGGTTCCAAACAAACTCCATCTGTCCAATGAGGGGACTCATTCTCATGTGGTTTGTAGTCATGCATTTTTGTTTGCTTGGATTTTTCTCTGTGTGAGAACAAACCAAACCACAGGAAGAAGCTACAAGTTAACAAACTCATCAAGTGATTCGGACCACAGTAAACGAACTATAGGTGTCAAAACACCCTAACTGAACAAACTTATTGGATAAAAGCTTGTTAATCTCAAATCCTGAGCAAATGAGCATGTCCAGAATAATCATTCTTTCTGCCACTTAGAATGACCATAATTGATCAAATGGAAAGTTCTGTTCATTGTTAGCTTTGCAAAGTGGACAAAGGGAAGTGTACTGAGGTCAAAGACAAAAGGGGCCAAGCACTGTTTTGTGGTTGTGTAGACTTCAACACAACCAGATAAGTCACACCTTGCCTGCCATTGGAAAGAATGCAGGTTGAAAGCACTTTGTGTTGGCTTCCCTTTGTAGACCCGGAAGCTGTGTCCGCCTTTGATACTCTCCGGTTAAAATCATTTGTTTTACCTGTCCATACATGGGCTGTTTCTCAGAACCACAGATTATTGGAAAAGAGGGACATGTTAAATAAGACTGTCTGCATAACATTTTTTTTCTGAGGAAAAAACCCCAAAAAGGCCAAAGAGTCAAGCGTCAGCTATATCTCACTTCAACAAACAAAACAGTAGATCCTCTGAAAATGGCTGGCCAACTTTTGTGCTTCAGGCCTGAGGCTTTGGGAGTAAATATATCAGAGTTGGCACATATTTCAGTGTCTTTGGCATTTAGCATCTTCTCCAGCTCTGGAATTTGCCAGTAGCAGCAGCTAGACCCAGACCGAGCTGGATGTGAAGCCTTCTCTCCCCTTAAAAACAGAAAAGCATGTAATGGGGCCTGTTAGCCATCTTCATCTTGTGTTGGAATCACCAGTTACCGTAGTTCTGTTTTTGGAAATCTTACAAACATGGGCAGAAGGTCAGCTGTCCATTGGTGTTGCTTTAGTGTAAAATAACTAGGTTAAAATGATTTAATATGCTGGGTTTTTATGTTTATCTATAATTCATTGAGGTAAAGCAGGAGAGCAGGTAGAATGCAGTCAGTGCTCTGCTGTCGATTCAGTTAAGCAGATTTTTGGTTGAAGCATTGTACAGTATCATTTCACAAATAGATTTTCTTTGACTGACCACAGCTCCACAAGATACGATTGAGTGTTTCTGCCATATACTGTTCATCCATTTATGGGAACTTGTTATATACTTTTGTTTGCAAGAAATCATACATTTTTTATTGGTGTTTCTGTGTGTGTGTGTGTGTGTGTGTGTCCTTATCAAATGCATGCAGAACCCATGAAATCATTGCTCAATGCCAGCCCTCCCGGGCAAGATGCAGCAGAGCCAGAGGCAGATGGGGCTGAAGTGTTCAAAGCATGCCGACGGGTAGATTGATGTCTCCTAGCACGGGTCGCTAAGCAGTCAACAGATGCAGGGCGGTGTTGTGACAGAGTGCGATGAAATGGTCATCACGATCACACGCTTTCACAGCGCTTTAAAAAGCCCTACCTGTCAGTGTTACTGCGTCTGATTTTGTCCCTCACTGTTTATTTTTTGCTATTGACAAATCAGTGACAGCAGGTTTCCCAGTGGGTTAGGAAGCCGCCTCGCTGTGGAGTAATCGGAGCTGCTGCTAATTTTAGGCTGCGAGATCTTCAGCGTTATGACAGCTGACGCGCTGTCTGGAGAACTGGAGACTCATCTGATGAATGCTGGGGAAATTAAATGTTTGTCTAGCAAAGTTGGAATGAATTAGTAAAGCTGGCTGTACACAGAAGTCCCCAGGGAGGTGCTGTTGTTCATACCTTCCTTCTGTTAGAAGAAGTTTGTATGTGTGTCACTCGGTACTTTGAAGGCGCATGAAGACATTTTTAGGACTACTGGAAGAAATTAAAATCTGCATACATGTGAATTTGCCTTCTACTCTCCAGCTAACTTTAAGCACTGTGACAAACTGGACAATTATTGGATGTATAACAGGGAAATATTAAATAACTGTGGCAGCCTGTTTGCACATATGAAGGATATAAGACTCAGAGGAGCGTGGAACATAGAGTTAATGGATGTATCACTGAATCTCATTACGCCTTCACGGGACTACGTGGCCTGTAAGCACATTCTAAATTGATGACCAGTCGTTGTGATCTCATCCGGGTTACTGCTAATCACAAGCCGAACCTGTTTTCTCTGTTTTACTGATTGACTGTGACGCTGTTGAAACGGACTAGCTCAACAGTGGATCCGCTCTTTAAACCGGAAAAGCTTGAAGAATTGGAAGAGGCTGATTAAAATGGGAACGTGCCTCTTCTTAGTTCTTGAGGTAGAGTGGCTCCTGTCAGTCCAAACACAGGTCGTTGCTACGTTAGTGGAGGTGCGTCGCTGCGGCAGATTACAAAAAAGGACAAAATTAGCAAGCTGATGGATCAAAGTAAGAAATGGAATAAAGGGCGCTTTGCAGCGTCTGAATCGACAAAAAGGTGGGCATTACAAAATGTTTAATAGTCAGAGTGCGCAGACACTAAAGTGCATTGGTTTCTGTGAAGAGCGGGTGACGCACAGCTAGATTACCTAGCATGGTTTTCTGGATCGCTTGTTAGTTTATTGGACACATGAGCACAATCCAAACTGGTGTGTTATGTTACTGTACTCAAACATGCTGACAATATGATCTTGTCCAGCAGGACAAGATCATATTGTCCCGCCCCTCCCTGTGAGCAAAAGCTCTTCTTATTGGCAGTTCTTTGCAAACTGCAGATGTGAGGGGTTTGTGAGCTGAATGTTTAAATGAGGGCGGGCCCCTCTCAGTGAGGTCACACAGAGCCACTAGTAGAAAAAACAGTCTAAAACTGAGTGTTTGACCAGGCTGAAATCAAGGCTTTTTGGATCAAATGGATTGTAGACATATGGCAGAGGACAAATAATAATGATAACAATGAGAATCGGTCCACTTTGACACAGGTACAGTACAAGGACAGGGAGGACGCAGGCACCACTGTGTGTGGCAATTAGAAAGAAGTGAATTGTTTACTTGTAATTATTGACAAAAAACAAGTGTAAATGGACTCTCGCTCATTGCCGATGTGTTTGTCCAGTAGACCAGCACTAATAGGACACTGCTCTCTACACATGATGTAAGATGAGTTTTGGACTGCTTGCGCTCTCTGATAATGACAGTAGGCTTTTGTATTATCATATATACTCTGCACGACTCCTTTAATGCCTCATTTCTCATTGACATATCCATTTATTTTTCTTCGGCATCCATCTGTGGCAGTCATTCATCTGCTTCAGAGGAGTCTGGATGTTTTCGTCTTCTTTTTTTTTTGTAACGGACTCTGTGTCGTTGCTATGGCAGCATCATTTTGGAAGGCTAAGCCCCTCAAAGATTTCAAACGTGAAGGTCTTCTTTTTTTCCCCCCCAGTTCCAGTTGTTTGTAAGAATGCACC